CCTCCATGTTTGTCTGGCTTTTAAAATACTGTCTTGTAAAAACAAAAACAAAAAACAAAAAAAACCCCACACAACAACAACAACAAACAAACAAACAGCAGCTTTATTGAGATACAATTTACCTACCATGCAGTTGACTCCTTTAAAGTGTACAGTTCATTGCTGTTTTTGGTATATTCACAGATATGTACAACCATCACCATAGTCATTTTGAGGATATTATCACCACCTCAAAAAGAAACCCCCATCCATTTTGGCTATTTCCTCCCCTCAACCCCACCCCGGTCCCCATCCCTTTCACCAGCCCGAAGCAGCCACCTTTCTACTTTCTGTTGGCAGATTTCCTATTCTGGACGTTTTATATGAATGAAATCAATCAGATAATATGTGGTCGTTTGTAACTGGCTTCTTTCACTTAGTATAATTTTCTCCAGGCTCATTCATGTTGCAGCAAGGGTCAGTACATATTTTCTTCCTTTTTATGGCTAAATAATATTCTTTTGTGTGGATACGGCACATTTTGTTAGTTGATGGGCATTTGGGTTGTTCCTACTTTAAGTACCCTTACAGCAGCTTCCTACTTGATTCCCCTGATTCCCTTTCTCTCTTTCCCCAGATTCTACTCAGGACCTCTAGAATCTATTCTGTATCTGATTTTTACCTGGCGAACAATACTACTTTCTGTATGTCTTCAATGATACATGGTCATAAAGAAAGTTTCCATATTAAATATACATGCATACATACATGAGATTCTTGCCTTCCCTCAATGTAACCTCATTGTTTCTTTACCTTTTTTCTGAGCTGTCTCTTCTTCCCCCCACCCAGAGCAGTGTTAGTAAAGACCCAGCTTATATCTCTCTGTGCTTTTCTTGGGTGTGTATTTAGACATATATATTCATGCACATGTACATAAGGCCATAGTTTGCTTTACATAAATGGGATGATTGCAATTCCTGTGGCTTGCTTCCCACCTTGTGAAAGGCATGAGAACCAACTGATGTAGCTTTACTTTGTTTTGTTTTTTTTAATGGCTACATAACAGTTCATGATGTGCATGATAACAAATTATGCCCCGTTCCCAGTTTTGCCATTGCCAATAGGGGATCCTTCTATGGCATAGGTGTGACTGTGTTCATCTCCTGCTCCCCTCCCTTATCTCGAAAACAATGGCCATTTAGGTTGAGCCCCGTGTCCACCATCATCCCTTCCCACCTCCCTCTGCTCACTCTCAGCCCAACTACTGAACACGCCAGGTCCATTTGCCGGCTCTTAGCATTTGTTTGAGCTAAGTTCTCCATGTTGAATGGCCTGTCCACTCAAGCACTGAATAATAATACTTGTGAGAGCTCAAACTCTGGGTCAGACTTGGGCTCAAATTCATGAGCCTCCCATAGTCTCTTCTCTCTCACATTTCTCTCTCTCTTATATTCCCAAGGAAGTTAATTTTAATCTGTATTATGGTTTTGTCTTAGGCTTTCGATTATAGAAGTAGTAATGTTTGGCATACTCATCACAATCCTAAATTTCAGGGTCCTTGGAAACAAAATGCAGCCCCTCTGAAGTTATGCAGTGTATGAGAAGCAGGGGGTTATGGGAAATCTGTGCCTTCCTCTCAGTTTTGCTTTGAAGCTAACACTACTGTAAAAAAAAAAGTCTTAAAAAGCACCAAAAAAAAAAAAAAAACCCAAAAAAAAAACTGTGGAGCTCCATCCAGTGGCTCAGTTGCTTGGAGGGTCATCCCAAAAAGGTTTCAGATTCGATCCCTTGTTGGGATGTATACAGGAGGCAACCAATCGATGTTTCCATGTTTCTTTCCCCACCTTCCCCCTTCCCTCTCTTCCTCCCTCTCTCCTTCTCTTCCTTCCTCTCTCCTTCTCTTCCTTCCTCTCTAAAATCAATAAACATATCCTTGGGTGAGGATTTAAAAAAACTATGGAGACTGTAAGAAGATGAGTAGTTAGTAGTCTTTGAGGGTGGAGAGATGAATAGGCAGAGAGCATAGAGGGTTTTTAGGGCAGGGAAACTATTCTGAATGAAACTCTAATGGTGGATATATTTCATTCTACAGTCACCAAAACCTAGAATGTATAGCAAGTGTGAACCCTCATGTAATCTATGGACTTGGGTGATAATGATGTGTTAGTGTAGGTTTATCAGTTACAACAAAGGTACCTTGCTGGTGGGGGATGTTGATTAGATTAAAAAAAAAAAATCTAGCCCTGGCTGGTATGGCTCAGCAGTCAAATTGTTTGCCCGCAGCCTAGAGAGTCCTGGGTTCGGTTCCCACTAAGGGCTCGTACCTTGGTTTGTCCCCAGCCCTGGTTGGGGTCGTGTGGGTGGCAACCACTCCATGTGTCTCTCTCACGTTGATGTTTCTCTCTCTTCCTCCCACTCTATCTGAAGATAAATGCAAAAAGAAGTCCTCGGGTGAGGATAAAAAAAAAATCTAGCCCCCCCCCCCCTTATTTTTTAATTCTCCCTGAGCGAGAATCATGGAACCTTGCTTGTAGAGGTGTTTATTAATTTAGTATTCAGTAAATAGATTAAGACCAGACTCCTGTGACTATAATTGCCCCATTTATGGCTGTTACTTCCAAAATTCACCCTAATTGTCACCGTCAAAACTTCACTGCCAGTGCGCTGCCGGGGTCTTTGGGCGAGACCTCCGGCTCTGGAAAGCCAGTTACCAGTGAAGACTGGAAGTTCGCCAAGTTTCAAAGAGCACCGTGCCTTTAAGTTTGTGGCTTGTCCAGTCTCCAGCTGTGTCATCCTTAAATGCCAAATTCACCAGAAAAGAAAGTGGAAACTCCAAAGAGAACCACCAGTGGAAATACAGGTTTATCCCCCTCATGATAGCAGCGTGGGTTGCCCCGGGTGACAATCTGCCTATAGATCCCCCTGCCCCTGGTTAAATTTCTGTGAAGGGTCAGAAACACAATCGCAGTGGGTGCCTGGAAAGAGTGGCCACTCCTGGTGACTCTCTCCCTCCCCTCCGACCCCTCCCTGGGCCATATGAAATCCTACAACCACACCACACTAATTAGCCCTAGAATGGAAGGGGTTGTCATGGCAACCGAGCACTTTTTAAAGCACAGGAATGGTGTTCATTATTGTTCAGTGTCTTTAGCTGTGGCTAAAAGGTCAGTGTGGCAGTTGTTTTCCATATGAATTTTGGCCCCGGAGCCAAACTGAAAGTGCAATGTTCCTCGGAGAGACTGGGAGATGGTAAGTGCGGCTGAACTTTTTGGACGGGGCATCCCTTTAGCAATATATTTTAGAACATTTCAAAACTAGTGCCAAGTGAAGGGGTTGTACGGACTTTGTGAAACAGAGATTGGAAGAAAAGAAGCAAGGAAAAGCTGTATGCGTCAGGAATGGTGAAAAGTTGAGAGAGAGTCTTTATTTAAAAAGTTTTGGAGCATCAAATAATTATATATTAAATTATGAGGTTTCTCTGGTTATGAATTTAACAAAGTTGACTAAGTCTGATGCTTTATTCAGTGTTTGTTTTATATTAGCTCTATGCTAGGCTTTGCTGCTGATCAGATTATATTCCCAAAGAAATGCAACACGCATTTTAACCAAATACCTCAGTACAGCTGTCTCTCTCCATTTTGTTAATCCAAATATTAAGGTAGAACAGTAGCCAAGGGTAATTTTGTTTTTATACTTTTATGTTTTTCCTACTTTTCTAAGGATGTTTGAAATAATCAAGACTAAAAACCTGTGAGCCACAATTCTTGGGATGTTTGCCCTCGTTTATTGGCTGTCCTTGGGTAGCGTACTGCTGAGTAAAGACAATTTGACCAGTGTTTGCAGAAGAAATTAAATATAAGTCGCCTGCTGGAGATGGTGGCAGCTATTCCACCAAAAGCTGTGAGGGAGATTTGCAAAGCATTCTTTAAGTTTATTTTTTGCTAGTTTGGAAAGCATACAGAATAACATGGGTTTCAGCCTAATTTTGTGTTATTGACGGACTACATTTTTATGGCTCACAAATTTGAACCACTTTCCACATTTTGCACTTTTAAACAATGTACTTGTAGCCTGTAGCATTATTTTCCAGCCATTTTCTACACTGTTGTGTAGGATAACAAAATTCAAATTAATTAAAGGGGGTGGGTATTTGAATTAAAAAACAAATCACTGCCCACAAAGCTGTGAATAGGAAGTGGCCTACTTTTAGGCTTGACTCTGAAAGACTTATTGTCCTGTGAGCAATGCCAGTTTGTTTGGCAAGTGAGTGGATAAGAGAATATGTTTCAGAACGTTAAGGCTTGGTTTGAGTTCCTCTTTCTTTAATTTGCATGTTCCAGGATTAATTTATTTAGTGATTATGGTATGGAACTCTCCATAAATGGAGTGTTTGAGAAATTGAGAAAATTAAAATTCTTCTTCTTTTTTGTCTCTTTTCTCCACCCCAACCCCCTCTCCCAGTCCTTAACTGGGTCACTGTATTTTTTAGCTAAAAAATATCTTTAAATGCCTTGTAATTGAAGTTTAAAAAGTAAATAAAATGGTATTTATATGGCACTTTAGATTCTTTGGAAAACATTAAATATGGTGGTACATTTATGATATTTATAAAACAATCAGAAATTGAAACATGGACATTAATATCAAGGAATTATTGGTATCTTTGTGGTGACTTATTGGTGTGTTTTACTATCTGAGAATGGTGTTGTGGCTATATAAAAAATTATAATGATATATTTACAAATGAGGTAGTGTGATATCTAAGATTTGCTTCAAAAAAATCCAGGAGTAAGTGGGGTCCTGGATGAGGCAGGATTGATAGGGGTGATGGGTACCTGGAGGGGGATTCACTTTCTGAGTTCTTTTGTGTAGGTTTAGCGTGTGTGTGCATGTGTGTGTATGTGTGTGCATGTATGTGTGCGTGCATGTGTGTATGTGTGTTGTGTGTGTGTGTGTGTGTGCGCGCAGCAGTGGTGGGGTGGCCTTGTTAACTTGATCATCTCACCTTCCGCATGTTTCAGATGCCAGACCAGTTTGACCAGGCGGTCGTGCTGAACCAGCTGCGGTACTCTGGGATGCTGGAGACGGTGAGGATCCGCAAAGCTGGCTATGCTGTCCGGAGACCCTTCCAGGACTTTTACAAAAGGCAAGATGGAACTGAATACATCCACTTCCTTCTCAGAGGGACTGGGCAAAGAGGGGATGGCAGTACAGGTGACGCTGGCCCTTTGCGTTGCAGGTACAGAGTGCTGATGAGGACCATGGCCGTGCCCGACGACATCCGGGGCAAGTGCACGGCCCTCCTGCAGCTCTGCGACTCCTCCCGCAGCGAGTGGCAGCTGGGGAAGACGAAGGTAGAGTCCCAGAAAGAAGGCGCCCGGGCCCCCGAGCCGTGTGAGGGCCCTGCCACGGCTTCGCTGCTCTGTGGTACTGCTGACCACCCGTTTTCCAACATTGGAAAGATACCCTTAGGGTCATGCCCTACATAATCTTTTGTCTCCCAAACAGTATTTATGCGAAGTCTTAGAGTTTTCCAGGGACTCTGCTTCCTGGCTCCCGCCTGGAGCTGTTCTTTGCTCCTATCCCCCCCCTCCCCCTTTCTTGACCACATGACCCCCTCCCTTACCCTCTCATAGCATGGCAGCCCACTTCTCCGAGACCAGCAAGATAATCTCTTTCTCCAGTTTCCTCAGATGGAGTCTTATATAACCTGACACCTTCACAGAAGTGACATCTCAGTCACCTTTGCCATATTCTGTGGGCCAGAAGGAAGTCGCAGGTTCCACCTACGCTAGTCTGAGTAAATAGAGATGTAACTCATTGGGGAGCGTCCCCTTGCAGTGTGTCCTCACAGGTTTTTGAGTCTCTACCTAGAATTCTGCTCCCCCCACTCCTTATTTTAGCCAAGTCATCCTTCGGGTATCGCCTTAGATGTAGACTTAGACAGGAGTCCTTTCTGACATTCTTCAGTGCAACCCATCCCAGAAGCTCTCCCCGAAACTGGGGTAAGCCCCTCCTCTGTCATCTCACGTCATCCTATTTTTGACCCTGTTGTAACTCACAGCCTCTGTCACGCCGTCTTGTCATTGCTGCTGACTTCTCTGCAGCCGCAACGGAGAACGGAGAGCTGATTGTTCTACACACTGCACACAGTAGGAGCTCAGTCATTGGCACAAGGGCATCGTGTGTTCATCACTCAAGGAAGACTTTCTAGAAACTGATCTCCTGTCTCACTTCTTTGTACATTGGAGTAACATCGGAGAGCATCATGACTCAGCCAGCCAGTAACAGTTTCTTCTGAGCTCTGAGGGTTCAGTCCAACTTGACCTACAACTTCCACTATGGAAACCAGGCCCAAGCAAGGCTTGGGAGCATGCATAGCACAGGGGATACAGTTTGCTCTGTTGCTGGGAGGTGAGACTGCCACATACAACTGAAAAAATCACACGTTCTAATCTCTTTAAGGAATCCGAACACAGACTCCCTAGGAGAGAGCTCACCGTGGATTGAAATGATCAGAGTAGTCAGAAAGAGGGAATCTTTAAAGAAGATTTAAATTGTAATTGGTAAAAAGTTGCAAGAAATTGCTCTGGCTGGTTTGGCTCAGCGGTTAGAGCGTCAGCCTACGGTCCCAAGAGACCCGGGTTCAGTTCCCACTAAGGGCACATACCTCAGTTGCAGTTTGTCCCCAGTCCTGGTTGGGTCATGTGGGTGACAGCCACTCGATGTGTCCCTTTCACATCAATGTTTCTCTCTCTCTCTCTCTCTCTCTCTCTCTCTCTCTCTCTCTTTTCTCCCTCTCCCTCTCTCCCTCCCTCCTTCCCTCCCTTCCACTCTATCTGAACAAAAAAATGGAAAAATGTCCTCGGGTAAGGATTAAAAAAAAGTTGCAAGAAGTAGTAGGAAGGAGACTTATCAGAAACATTGGGAAGTAAATGTAAACAGAGCATTTGAACTGTGTGCACTAAAATAGCTTTGACCTTAACTGACTAATGTTTGACTTAATTACACATTAGCATGTGTTTTGGTCAGGAGTGCCCCCAGAAGGTCTTTGCATTTAAAGCCTTGAACCTCTGATGAACATCTGGATTTTCTGGTAAGGAAATTACCATCGTACTTACATGATGGAGGGAAATGTGGGCAGTATTGTAGCCAGCAAATTAAACCTGGCACCAGATCTGAATTAGCCAGTTTAAGTAAAACATATTCAGGCAAGAATTCCCATCTGCTGCGGAAACATTTCTAAAGAAGGTAGGAAGCCTGCGGGAGACTGAGACGTTGAGCGGAGGGTGACAGAGGTGAGCTGTTCCCCTCTATGTTCCTGGCTTTGATTTTCCCTTCTGCCTTGTGATTCTGGCACTTTTCATTTTTCTGATCATCTGGATTACATTGCTAGACTTTTCCCCTCTGTTCTATGGAAATAAGGCCTGCAGGAGGTATTTTTATAAAGACATCTTACTAGAATAACCCATAGGCTCTTGAGTTATCTGAGATAAGGATGGAAAAAGGCATTCAAAATTTTTTGTTAAAGGCAGATAATCCAGTTAAAAGAGGAGCCTTCATTAATTGTGAAATTGTTCGTGGTGGATATTGAGTCATGTGTAAGAGGGCAGGCACTGGCCTGGGCACTCCCTTTCGATGGTGCCTGAGGACAGCGCCTCTGCTCAGAGCAGCTGGGTCCCTTTGACTCCTGGCCGCGTCCTGGACACATGGGGACGTGGCAGTGACTCACCGCTGGGCTGGAAGGGCTGGCATCACTTTCTGTGTGGTGTTGCCTAAATTTAGTGTGATGTCCTTAGAGAAGCCAAGTCTGGTCTCTGAAAGCATTTTGCTCCATTTGTTTGCCTTTCGGGTTAGTGGAGGAGAATCTGGATGAAATGCACAAGGAAATTTAATAGAGCAGAGAGCTTATTTTTTTAATGGGTGTAAAACTAAAGGAGCTGTGTGTCTGATTCGAATGCCAACCAAGACCTTCTGTAGACTTTTGATAAGGTGTAAGATATTGTTGCTTCATAAAGGTTTCTCTTTGTCTAATGTATCGCTTGTTAGAATCGACAGTTTGTTTCATGATTGTCACCACCACGCTTTCCCAAGATTTTATTTTATTTTTTTCTTTTGCTCACTAGAGTAAAAAGCATTAGAGTAAGGGCCTCAGTACCAAAGAAACAATCTCAAATTGAGTTTTCAGAACTACATTCTTGATGTAAATTTTTTTTTTTTTATGTGCATTAACGTTTTTGAGGCCGAGATGCTCTGATTGTAATCACTCGATGCGCATGAAGAGTGGGTTTTCATGTGATGATAAAGATCATTTTGTAAACTTCTTAGATTTCTTTTCTTCCCTCCCTCCCTCCCTCCCTTCTTTTCTCCTTCCTTCCTTCCTTTTCTTTCTTTTTTTATGTAGGGAGTATCTTTGTATCTCTTGTTATTTATACTATTTTGGGACTGGTGCTAGTCTATGAACTATTTGTCCTGGCCCATGATGAGATAAAAATTCACAAACTTTTATAACAATATCATAGTCCTTTTATGCCTGTTGAATCTAATAATAACGACCATAAAATGAAACTTTTACTTTCTATATCCTTTTTTCTTCCTAGTTATTATTTCTACTGTGTTTTACAAATGTCTTAGTCTATGACAGATCGAAAGCTTGAAAAAACAGTAGGCAACAAAAGCAAAATTAAACAAAGGGAATTATATCAAAACCTTCTGCACAGTAAAGGAAGCCCTTAATATGAAAGGGCTGCCTACTGAATGGGAAAAAATATTTACAAATCATCTATTTGATAAGGGTTAATTTCCAAAATTAACGAACTCATACAACTCAGTAGCAAAATAATCTAATTTAAAAATGGGCAGAAGATCTGAATAGGCATTTTTCTAAAGACATAGATGGCCAACAGGTACATGAAAAGAGATGCCAATATCACTCATCATCGAAACAATGCTAACAGAAATAACCCTTTCAATGCGGTACCACCTTACACCAGTCAGAATGGCTGTTATCAAAAAGGTAAGAAATAACAAATCTCAGCGAGGATATAGAGAAAGGGGAACCTTTGTGCACTGTTGGTGAGAATATAAATTGGTGCAGCTACTATGGAAGTCAGTGTGAAGGTTCCTCAAAAAAACTACCATATAACCCAGCAATCCCACCTCTGGCTATATATCTAAAGAAAACAAAAGCACTAATTCAAAAAATATATGCACAGTAGCCAAGGTAGGGAAGCCACTTAGGTGTCCATCAATGGATTAAGAAATTGTCACATGTGCGCGCACGCACACACCGAAATATTATGCCGCCATAAGAAAGAATAAATGCCTCGCCATTTGCAACATGAATGAAACTTGAGGGCATCATGCTAAGTGAAATAAGCCCCGTAGAGAGAGACATCTACTGTATGATCTCTTATATGTGGAATCTAAACTGAAGGGGGTTAAAAAACAAAAAATAAACCCAAACTCGTAGATACAGAGAACATATTGGTGGTTGCCAGAGGTGGGGGTGGACAAAACGGGTGACGAGGTAGAGGGTACAAACTTCCGGTTGTAAGTCATGGGGCTGTAATGTACAACATGGTGACTATAGTTAATAATACTGTATTGCATAAAGTTCTCACCCCAAGAAAAAAATGTGTGTCTGTGTATGGTGACGGATGTTATCTAGACTTACTGTGGAGATCATTTTTAATATATACTATTGTGGCTCAGGACAGGCCATCCCAAAGGATACCACAGTGGCATATTGATTATTTTAAATTAAAGTCACTTGCAAAACAGCAGTGCAAAAAGGAGGCTCTCTGATTCCTCCCCCACTTTCCCCTTGAAAGCAGGACATGAGCCTCCCTCGAATTATCCTCCCAATGGGAGGACAGAGGCGTCCTTATCACTAGAGACGGGGAGTCAAGGCTGAGAAAGCTGCATGAAGAAGCTTTGTTGCTTCATCGGTTTGCTGCCCCAAACACAAACCCCTTTGTTTTGTCTAATCTTCTCGGGTAATTGTTTCTGTGTCTAAAACTGCCATCCAAGCAGCCTGCTCTGGTCACTTCGGGGCCCATTTCTGTGAGACCTCCCTGTGGATGTGATTGTTTTTTCTCTTGTTAACCTGTCTTTAGTCAATTTAATTATTAGATCAGCCAAAAGAAGGAAGAAGGGTAGGGCGGAAATTGTTCCCTCCTCGACAATACAAATACTGAATCGTGATATACACCTGAGACTGATATGTTATGTGTTAATACTTCTTCTGTAAAAAAATGAAAACAATGGCTTTTTCCCACAGGGAGCTGAGAAGCTCTGGGCTGGAAAGCATGGTGTGTGTGTTCAGAGCAAACTTGAGAGGGGGAATAAAGCCTAACGCTACCCCCCCCCCCCCCCAAAATATCTGTGACTCGGAGATACCTTCCTCTACACTCTTTGATTCTTCCGTGTTGCTCCCTCCTGGGCAGGTCTTCCTTCGAGAATCCTTGGAGCAGAAACTGGAGAAGCTGCGTGAAGAGGAAGTTAACCGGGCGGCCATGGTGATCCGGGCCCACATCTTGGGCTACTTGGCACGGTAAGAAGCATCAGAGGGGAGAAGGCATTAAGCTTCGTGAGACCTTTCTCAGGATAATCCACTGGGTGGGGTAGGCTGGTTGATTGCTTTTTCTTAAAATAGACCTGAATGGAGGGTCAGGGTCAGGCTAAGGAGTGCTCCTAGCTAGTGGTGCCAGATGCCTAGTCAGCTTGACCTTGGCAGAAAGTAGGAAGGGGGGCTCCAACCTTTCAACGAGAGCAATGGTATTAGGGGACTGTGCTGAGATATTTAAATTGCTTCCCCGGTTCATCTTCCTTCATCCTGAAGCCAGAGGCAGCCTGGCTGTTGACATTGGTGTCTCTCTGGGTCCACGGAGGCCCACTCTTCAACATTTACCAAATAAGGCAGCTTCTTTTCATGTGCACTTGAGTTCTCTTCACCTCTGTGGACCAGCGTGCCCCATGAAACCCTACACCAGTGGTTCTAAACCTTCCTAATGCCCAACCCTATAATACAGCTCCTCATGTTGTGGTGACCCCCAACCATGAAGTTATTTTTGTTGCTACTTCATAACTGTAATTTTGCTACTGTTATGTCTTAGGCGACCCCTGTGAAAGGGTCATTCGACCCCCAAAGGGGTCGCGACCCACAGGTTGAGAACCGCTGCCCTACACTGTTAACTTTTCTTTAGTGCAAAGCTGTCCTGCTGTGACAAGTTCTTTTTGTTGTTGTTTTTTCTTCATAAGAACAGGAGAATATATAAAATCTCTTTTGGTCATGTTTACAACCCAACTTCCTGCCAAAACTTTTCAAAGTCAGCATTAGGGGTTCTGTGTTTATTTTTTGCCAAGATCATGATAGGGTTCTTGCTTGACTTTTGTTGGTTACTGTTCTTTTGTGTTTCTTCTGCTTTGTTTTGTCCAAAAGGGCCTCCAGACTCTGTAATGAGAGGTTCCTCCCAAACGGGGTCTCGTTCTTTTGTCTTGGGGCCTGAATGGAAACTCCTCTGAAGAGCTCGAAGCCTCACTACCTGGACAGTTATTCTGTTGTGATGTGTTTTTGTTTTCATTTTCAGGAAGCAGTACAGGAAGGTCCTTTCTTGTGTGGTGACGATACAGAAGAATTACAGAGCCTTCCTGCTGAGGAGGAGATTTCTGTGCCTGAAGAAAGCAGCCATAGTTTTCCAGAAGCAGCTCAGGGGTCAGATGGCGCGGCGACTTTACAGACAGCTGCTGGCCGAGAAGCGGGAGGAGGAAGCAAAGAGGAGGCGGGAAGAAGAGGAAAGGAGGAGGCGAGAGCAAGAGGAAAGGTGCAGCACCTCTCTTGCCTGGATGACACACAGGGACACCTTTGGAGCTTTAGGCTCAGTATCCGTCCTCTCAGCAAGAGTTCCCAGTGGAGGCTGCCCAACCTGCTGTTGGAAACAGTAGCTTCTGGGGACTCAAATGTAAAATTCCTCCGCAGCATTGAGGAGCCGGTTCTGTGTGTGTGTGTTTATTTCATGCACAGGATAGGTATATTGCCAAAGGAAGAGGTCCTATCCTTCAGGCTCTGTTAAGAAAATTAGCTGTCTGACAGATGGCTCTGAGATTTTTTTCCCATTGTGTTTATTTTCACTGTCTTTTTTCTTTCCTGTTCTTAGAGAAAGAGAGAAGGCACGAAGAGAAGCTGAGCTCCGTGCCCAACAGGTGACAAATGGAGGGACAGGGTGGCTTCTCATCGGCCCATCTCCCCCTTCAAACCCTTTGACTCGGGAGTTAAAGCTGAAATAAATATAAAGATGGAGGAAGAACATTAGAGATGTTTATGGTGCAATGTCTAACATGATACAATTGGGTGAAAATCCGTGCATGTCTAAAATTTTAGTGTGAATCATGACAGCATAAATTCTCTGAACGAACATAACCTCTATGTTAGTTTGCTCAGGCTACCATAACAAAGGACCACAGCCCGGGTGGATTAAAGCATAGAATGTGGTTTTCTCACCATTCTGGGGTCTAGAAGTTTAAGATCAAGATGCAGTAGGTTTGGTTTCTTCTGAGGCCTCTCTCTGTAGCTTGCAGGTGGTCACGTTCTGGCTCTGCATCCCTGGTATCTTCTGTATCCAATCTCCTCTTACAAGGACACCAGTCAGATTGGGTTAGGGTCCCACCTAACACCTGGTTCTAACTTAATCACCTGTTTAAAGACTTCATTTCCAAATATAGACACATTCTGAGATACTAGGGGTTGAGGCTTCAACATCTCAATTGGGGGGGAGGGGTGTCACAATTTTAGCTCAAAGCAGCATCTGGTGGTTCTTCAGTGCAAAGGAGAAGCATGCTTACCCTCCTGTCACTGACGTCTAACACCTGCCGTCCTCTCTGTCCAGGAGGCAGCTGAACGGAAGCAGCAGGAGCTGGAAGCTTTGCAGAAGAGTCGGAGGGAAGCTGAACTCAGCCGGGAACTGGAGAAGCAGAAAGAAAACAAACAGGTGGAAGAGATCCTCCGCCTGGAAAAAGAAATCGAGGACCTGCAGCGCATGAAGGAGCGGCAGGAGCTGTCCCTGACCGAGGCCTCCCTGCAGAAGCTGCAGCAGCTGCGGGACGAGGAGCTCAAGAGGCTGGAGGACGAAGCATGCCGAGCCGCCCAGGAGTTCCTGGAGTCGCTCAACTTCGACGAGATCGACGAGTGCGTGCGCAACATCGAGCGCTCGCTGTCCGTGGGCAGCGAGTTTTCCAACGAGCTGGGTGAGCTTGCTGAGAGTGCAAGTGCAGAGAAGCCCAACTTCAACTTCAGCCAGCCCTACCCGGAGGAGGAGGTCGACGAGGGCTTTGAGGCCGATGACGATGCCTTTAAGGATTCGCCCAACCCGAGCGAGCACGGCCACTCTGACCAGCGAACAAGTGGCATTCGGACAAGCGACGAGTCCTCGGAGGAGGATCCCTATATGAACGACACTGTGGTGCCCACCAGCCCCAGTGCCGACAGCACCGTGCTACTGGCCCCCTCGGAGCAGGGCTCCTCCAGCGGGGTGCCCACCTACTGCATGCCCCAGAACACCGGGGGCCTTCCCTCCCCGGAGGGCGACTACGACTACGACCAGGACGACTATGAGGACGGTGCCATCACCTCCGGCAGCAGCGTGACCTTCTCCAACTCCTGCAGTAGCCAGTGGTCCCCAGACTACCGATGCTCCGTGGGGACCTACAACAGCTCTGGGGCATACCGGTTTAGCTCCGAAGGGGCACAGTCCTCGGTGAGTATCCTCTCCCCTGGGGGGGCCCAGGTTCCCCCACACTGAGGTAGGAGTTGTCCTGAACCACACCCCTGTTGCACATTCACTTGGATGAAGACCTCCTCACAGACCATGCCAGGATTTCAGAGTTAGGCCCTTAAAGATGATCTCAAACCCCTTTCTCTCCCAAAAGCAATCGGATTAGTACATGGAGCTCTGATGTATCTGTTGTAGATTAAACACAAAGCCCAGAACTGCACTTTGCTCAAGGCCTAAGAAAACTGGCATGTTCAGTGGAGACTTCAGCTGTATCTGTCACTGCTTTGCAGCCAGTCGGGAAATGAGACCTGCCCTGATGGGAACTAGAATTGCCAAAGGCCTTTGGGAGAACTTTCCTTACAGTAGCTTCACAGACCACACCGCAGGATGTTCTAGCTTGTTCTGGTTGTAAGAGAGGGATCTTTAAGGGCTTAAACATGCCCTTCCAGCTGCTGCGCTCATTTATCACTTACTTTTATGTGTTTCCCCCACTGGCCGTCCATTAAAGACTGCCTTGACGTCCTAAGACCTGATATTTCTAGCTTAGTAATTTAAAGGGAATTAACTGTTGGATGGTTTGATGAAAATTACACCTTTAAACAGCAGTGTTGTTTTTAGAATAGATGGCCTTTGGGTGAAAGTATGTCTAGAGTTTTTAATGTATCCATGCAAGGTGCAATTTGACCTGAAAAGGCGGTATTTCGTAACTCTGGATTTTTGACGACCACTCTGCTGTAATGTTACAAACGGGCATGTTGCTTCTTTGTTGGTCATATTTCTTTTTCTCAATGTTGATAGACGCTGGGCATGTTTGTTGCCTGTTCTCTGGTTTTCTTGCTTACTGTTGGCTCTCTTCTTGTCCAGTTTGAAGACAGTGAAGAGGACTTCGACTCGAGGTTTGATACGGACGATGAACTGTCCTACCGGCGGGACTCTGTGTACAGCTGCGTCACCCTGCCTTATTTCCACAGCTTCCTGTACATGAAAGGTATGACCCCGGCCTCCGTGGCACATGGTCCAGGGGTAGAGCGTTGGAAGCTGAGATTTTATTTTCACTGAGGCTGATTGAGGGTGTTAGGAATATCACCCTACCTACCTTTGCCCCGCATTAGGTTCTCTAGGTGCATGGAGGGTACCATGGTGGCATGATGTGGGTAATGCCAGGAAGGGCATTGCCTTGGCTCTCCTCGGACAGAGTTTACAACCACTGTCACTGATGATGAGAATTGTAGTTGTACGTTTTGATTGCTATTAAACTTTGAATGGACTGTATTGGTCCTTTTTCCTTGGGGACCTTGGAGCACACTCCTTTTGGAAAGGACCTTGTACTCATGTCTTATTTATGATCGACTCCGACTTCTGAATCAGTGACAGGGGCCATGAGAAACTATAACCATCGCCAGGTTTTGGTCAGAGTTTTACTTGGCTTGTCAGATAAGGGGACTGCTGCGTTTCTCACATGGCCCTAGCTGGATGAGGGACCAGAGTCCAGATCCTGGGGATGGGGCAGGGGTGACAGAACCAGTATCCCCAGATGATGTCCTTCACTTTGTGGCCCCTTCTTTTCTCTCCTTTCTTTTTGTTTCCCCAGAATCAAGTTTTTTGTTTTCTTTGCCCCTTTTCTTCACTTTCTTTCTACGGCCATCTTGAATCATACGGTTTTTCTTTTCTTTTTTCTCCATGAAAACTTTTTATTTATCTTGTGTTCCTTTCTCTGTTTCTTCTATTCTTTGCCTCTGCTTCGCTCTTCTATTGGCATATTTATTTATTTATTTATTTATTAAAAGAATAGTTTTTTGGTTTTTAGAGAGAGCAGTGGGGAGAGAGAGAGAAACATCAATGTGAAAGCACAACATCATCGCTGCTCCTGCATGCGCTGTACTGGGGATGGAGCCTGCAACCCTGGCATGTGCCCTTGAACGGGAATCAAACCAGCCACCTTTTGGTGCATGGGATGACACCCAGACAACGCAGCCGTACTGGCCAGGACATCGGCATATTTATTTTTTCATACCTCTTTTGTCCTCCTTAATATTTGTTTCTGTTTTTATGTTTTGCTTTCATTTGATTTTTATTTTTTTATTTTTTTTTATTTTTGCCACTCTGCTCCCCTTCTTCAACATTGGTTTAGTTACTAACATCAGTCATTCGTTTTTCAAAGTCCTGCTGTTCTCAGCCTCCGATCCCCAAGGTGCTCATGGAAACGACACCAGGTTTGTTTTAGGGGAGATCTGCCTATTGCAGAAGTCACTGGTTGGTGGAAGTTTTTATAGGAACCTTAGATTGACAAAGATTGAGAAAGTCTAACCAAATGACCTAGCTAGCATCGGATCACTCGATAAAGGAAAACATGTAATCACAAATCAGGCCCTAATGCTTTAATATGTATCTAACCATAGCTCTTAAGATTTTCTCATGTATTTTTCAGAATAAAGATAAGATTTTTATTATTAATGTATTTCCCCCTCCCCCTATTTAATTTTAGTCCATAAGTTACCTTTCAAATTCTCTGTATCACTATGTTACTCTTATTTATAATATATGGCATTGGTTTGTTACATAGTTATCTGATTAAGACAAATAAGGAAAGATTAGGAAAAAGTAAACATACGTTACTTCAGAGCATTAAGTTTCAACATCAAAGCATTAAAAGCTCAAAGAGCTAAGTAAGTAAATTTTTGGCAAACTCACCTCTTAAAAAAGTTATTGTATAAATGTATCATTAATCTTTTTTTTTTTTTTTTAACTATTCTTAATTGATTTTAGAGAGAGAGTAAGGGAGAGGGAGAAAGAAAGAAACATCGATGAGAGAGAACATCGATTGGCCGCCTCTTGCACGCTCCCCACTGGGGGTTGGGTCCACAACTTGGACATGTGCCCTGACCAGGAATCCAACCAGTGACCTCTTGGTGCATGGGTCGATGCTCAACCCGTGAGCCACACCAGCTGGGCTCATTAATCTTTAATTAAGTCTTAAAGCTGTGACCAAAAAAAAATCAGAGAAATCAGTGATAAAATCCAACCACCAGATATTTTATGAGCATAAATGAGTCTTCACCAGCTTAATAGCCTACTAAAGGTGTTTGCAGTTGAAAATTATAGCTTTGATCAAATTTTCTAAATGATGGACTATTGAGAGAGCAACTGGAACTGTAGAGGAAGGGCTGGGATCTAGTCCTATTATGGCATAAAAGCAACAGTGAATGAGCTGGTGGCGGCGGCTCTGGTGAGGACTAGAATAACCCGTGTGTCTTTGAAACAACTGTGAATAACCTTTATCATTTAAAGATAAGACAATAGAATAACTCTGTGTTACCATTTCCTCTGGGCTTGTTTGAGAAACCCAGATTAAAGTCACAAATCAAAAAGAACGTTTCTGGTAGACCTTGGCAAGTTTGCTGTTTGTTAGGAAACAGCTTTGCAGCTTGGCGTGACCACAAAGACTTTCCAGCTAGGTGAGCAAGCAGTGCTTCAGATACAGAAAGGGCGGCAGTCTATCGCAAGTGCACTGTGCACACCCAGCACAGACCAGTGTCGGCACTGCCGAGTCTGCTCCAATGTGAGGTTTAGATCTATAGTCACTCAAGAAATTAATCTGAGAAGGTCTTTTATTTAAATGTATTTCTAATCTATAAAAGAAAAGTACTTTCTTTATACTGACTTTCGGTATCCATGTTTAAAGGTCCCTTATTATCATTACTGGCTGACCACAAAAATAACTTTTGGACATTTTATAATGTTTTATAATGTTTATAATGTTTAAATTGTTGAAGGAGATTATGTTCTTAGTGAATACATTGAAACAGATTTTTGAATGATGGTGGTAAGACATCGCTCTTGAGTGTCCTTGAAAAATCTAGAATGCTAAGATAAAATTATCCTAGAAAGCTATTAGAAATATTTTTTCTCTTATAAAAGATGACATTTATTCCCAGCCAACATGGCTCAGTGGAATGAGCATTGTCCCATGAACTGAGAGGTCCCAGTTTGAGTCCCAGTCAGGAGGAATGCAGGAGGCAGCCCATAAATGTTTCTCACTCACATCGATGTTTCTCTCTCTAAAAAATCAATAAAAAACATTTAAAAAAAAAAAAATGACATCTGTGTACCCTTGTCTCCTTATCTAATTTGACTCAACCAAAAAAAAGTTTTCCACTAAATAAATTATAGCTAAATTCTCATTTTTTTAGGTCTTATCACAATTCAATTTGGAGTACTTACTTTGTTTCACATTCTAATTGTATACCTTGTACATGTGAACCATTTTCAGATGATGTTACTTTTTTTTAAATGTGTTTATCCAAAGAACTCTTTATTTTATTTTCCTATGTAAGTGAGAATCTATTGCTCAATTTCAAAATCACTTACAAGCCATGTTTCATCAACCAACTAAGGAAGAAAATGTGTCAACTCTGACAACGTTATAAACTCATTTCCCCCGTGGGGCATTTGAAGATAAACATACAGAAATGGTTCTCGTCCCATGGCCCCCACTCATTGCAGGGTTAGAGTATCAGTTCGGTATACGGGAGGGACCACGTTCTTGTATCATCCCCCAAGCTGGTGTAATACCTGTCCAGCATCCCCTGAACAAGCCAGCAGTGCCACCTTCCTTCACTGAGGGGGATCTGCGGGCAGGTCACTTGAAGCAGAGTTAAGGACAGGCTGAACCTTAGACCTTAGACCTACTGATATTGTCATCCAATTTGATTAACTTCTTAAACCCCTCCCTACCCGGTCTTGGGGGAACAGGTGGCTTAATGAACTCCTGGAAACGTCGCTGGTGTGTCCTCAAGGACGAGACCTTCCTGTGGTTCCGCTCCAAGCAGGAGGCCCTCAAGCAAGGCTGGCTCCACAAAAAAGGTGGTGGCTCTTCCACGCTGTCCAGGAGAAACTGGAAGAAGCGCTGGTTCGTCCTCCGCCAGTCCAAGCTGATGTACTTTGAAAATGACAGTGAGGAGAAACTCAAGGGCACCGTGGAAGTCCGGACGGCAAGGTGGGTTGACGAACCGTGGATGTGGCCCAGTGGGTGGTGCTCTGGTGCGGCTTGATCATCTGTGCTGATGCCTTCAAAGCCAACTGGTGTGCGTTCTCTGAAACGGTAGATGGTAGTGGGTGTTGAGCAAGTCCTCATCATTCACTTCAGTGGAACGAAACAGCTTCGTCTGTGAAGAGCTCACGTGTGGTTACATTCACACGTTTGGCTCTGGTTTGTAAGATGCCCGTTGGACCTATAATTAGCCCATTGGAGATGTGATTGGTTGTTTGCAGGACTCATGGTATGAATGAAGGTTGAATGATGGGCTGAGAATCTTTTTATCCTTTTATCACTCACCATACCATTTTCGATTATTGTATGCCCTCAGCTATGCCAGCAGATTGCGAAATTGGGAGCCAACTGCTAGTCTGGAGGTGTTTAGTTTTTCCATGTTCTGTTTTGTTTTTAGAGATACAGTTAACATGTAACATTATTAGTTTCAGGTGCACAACAGAGATTTGGTATATGTATATATTGCCAAATGGTTATCAGCACACCATACACATTTTTTCCCTGTGGTGAGAACTTTTAAGATCTATTTCCTTAGCAACTTTAAAATCTGCAATATGGTATTATTGACTACAGTCTCCATGCTGCATATGATGTCCCCATGACTGACTTATTTTATAATGGGGGGTTTGTATGTAACTTGTGACCACCTTCACCCATTTTTTGTACTTTTTGATCACCTTCTACCCATGAGGTATTTTTTGAAATGAATCATTTGTCTTCTACCTGTATTGAATAGATCTGTTTCAGGTGAATACATACCATCTTCTTTCTCAGCAATGAGAGAAACGGAACTGCTCTTTGAACCCAACATGAACCCCTTTTCTGATACCCTCTTATAGAACCAAAGCATTTGAGGACCGATTATTCTTGTTAAACATTGTCAGGTTTTCAGAAAATTGTTGGAGTTAGGGACAGCTGGGTAACTAGAACTGTGCATAAAACTTGTTTGACAGAACCTGTAGCCATATTCCACTGCACTCGAGCAACCACACGCATTTGGAAAACTGGTAAAATAAGCTTTGAGAGATCAAATTAACTCCTGAAGTCATGAGTCTTGAAAATGACATTGATTCTAATCAGCCAGCATTATCAACTTTAGAAACTTACTCATTAAAAAGTGGGAAGTTAAACAAGGAAAGGAAATTGTTTTGTGTATTTACAGGCAGATAATGAGGTGTAGACGGCAGACTATTGGACTTTTCCGGGCTGCCTTTGGAGTTGGTTCATTTTAGGAGCCCATGCTCTGCAAAAGTGAGTTTGGGGGGATTCGAATCTGAATCCCCCACACAAGTTTTCACAGATGGCACAGCCCTTTGCCTCACACGGTCTTCCCTCAGCCCTACAGACCGTGACTTCCTCTTTGTCCGCCCCGTAGGAGGGTCCCGATGCCAGGAAGATGAGAGAGCACCTGAGTCCGGGGGTGAATTTCGCCTGTGGGAAGTGATTATGTTCCTTTCACAGCTCCCTCTGCCTCTTGATGAAGCCCTGTTCTCCAGGTGTTTGCAAACATTTCCGAGTTAAGGAAATGTGAGCTCTCAGCCATTACTGTCATAGTCTCTAGAGGACGGGCAATGAGTTGTTAGGATTTCACCACATTAGGATTTTTTATTAAGATTAATTAAGTTTAAGATTTTTTTATTTCATATTTTGAAATGTTTTATTATAGAAAACTTCAGTCACATGCAAGAGCAGGTGGAATGTAATAAAATCCCTGTCTCATTAACCCAGCTTTTAGCAGTGACGCACCGTGGCCACAGTGTTTTGTTCATCGCCCCCCCCCCCCCCGCCACCTCAATCCCCCCACAAACGACATCCTTTAAAGCAAGTCCCTGGCATCATGCAGTGTCTTCTGTAAATATTTTAGTATACATTTGAAGATTAATTATATTATTGTAACATTTAAAAAAACATTAACTTCTTATCATCCAAATTTGAATCATTGTTCAAATTTCCCCAGTTGTCTTAAAAACGAAGGTGATAGTGTTCTTGTTGGTTTGCGTTGGTTTATTTCTTCACATCAGAAGCCCAATAAGGTTTATAATGTTAGTCAGTTGACAGATATCTCAAGTCCCTTAATGGATAAATTCCCCCTCCATCTTTTCTTTCCCTGACACATTGTCATTTACCATGGTCCTGACAGCCTCCTCACACCCCCATCTCCAAGGATGCTTTCTACAAATACAGGCCCCTGAGTTCCACCCACAGAGTGCCCCCTGCCTGTGTTTTCTGAACACTTCTCAGAATTTAAAACCACAACCTTGTAGCCAGATCACAGTCTCACCCTCTCAACATTCAAGGTTGCTGACTGAGTTCCTAGGAGGCACAGTGGCTAATCCAGGACCACTTGGTCTGGACACTTTTACCTAGGGATTATCATCCTGCACCAGAGGCTCTGTTGCCAGACCTTGGCTGGTCCCTCCCCACTGCTCCCCTCTCTCCTGCCCCTCAGAGAAGGCACCCCAGACCCCTCTATAATAAAGTTACATCTTGATATTTCTTTTTCCATCTTTTTTTTTTTTTTAATATATCCTCACTCGACATTTTTCCATTTTTTCTTCAGACAGAGCGGGAGGGAGAGAGAGAAACATCTATGTGAAAGGGACACATTGAGTGGTTGCCACCCACACGACCAACCAGGGCCGGGGATAAACTGCAACCGAGGCACGTGCCCTTAGCGGGAACCGAACCTGGGTCTCTCTGGACCACAGGCCGACACTCCAACTACTGAACCAAACCGGCCAGGGCACATCTTGATATTTTTGTTTAGTACTTTATCCTGACTCGGTGATTTTAGCTATAAGATTATACATTTATTTTTTTTCTAATCGGTTGGACTAGTTTTGTAGATGTAAAATGAGTGCTGTACTGTGAACAGTTGTACTAATTCAGTTGTCCAAGCAAGCTGGGTTTATCCCCAAGATCCTTCATCAGATGTCGTCCCCTCTCTGGGCCAGTCCTGACTCTGCGGGTGTTTTGTCTTGGATGTTGTTCACCCGCTCCACTGATTTTAAACCTCTAGGGCAGTTTAGGGAGTGTTGGGGTGATAGTCAGATGATATTGCGATCCAGAAACACCCCAAAGCTCCCACTGGAAATAATGTGCCTGTATCAGGCTGAGTACAGCAGAGGAGTCAGCCAAGGCCTGACACTGATGGGAAGCCGTAATGAACTCTGACAGAACTCTGACAGACTGATCCCTGTGAGTCCTTCCATGGAAGAGCTGTGAGAGGCACCACAGGGAAAGGGAGGCAGAGCGAGCTGCAGCCCCAAGCCTTCTGGGGCTAAGCGGGCCCAGGCTCCCAGTGGGCCAGTGTGAGAAGAGAGGGGCCCCCTCCTTAGTAGGGAAGTCAAGGAAATTTGTACCCCTGGCCAGGCCAGCAGCCCCGGTCTCTCTCCAAAGGAATGAGGAATATGGCTCCCCCTAGAGGCCACAGTGATCATCATTTCTTAAAAAACTGGCCGAAGTAGGTGTCTGATTTTTCAATTACTTTCCAGCTCAAACATCGGTTTGGTGAAATTGCTTTTCTCACTTATTGTTAAGAATTCTGTGTTCCTGATTTGCTTTTGGTGTTTTTTCTTTCCCCAGAGAGATCATAGATAACACCAGCAAAGAGAACGGGATTGATATCATTATGGCCGATAGGACCTTCCACCTGATCGCGGAGTCCCCAGAAGATGCCAGGTGAGGCGTTGTGCTGTCGACTTCGTAACTACACCCTCACTCCTGCACAGGCCTGGGTGTCTCTCAGATCCCTGCTTAAACCCACTCGCTGGGAAGAGATTTTAATTGATTTCTTAGATGGGTTTTTCTGTTAGGATGGTTGAGGGACTGTGAGTCATAAGAGAGTGATGTGCTTTTTCCTCTGGAGACTTTTCCTGGGCAGAGCTGTCCACGTGCAGCACACAGTTCAGGGTTCCCAGCTTCGAGTGCCACCCGCCAGATCCTTTGTCGCCCCTGCTCGGGCTTCTGGTGTCACCGGCAGCCTGTGTGAACTGCCGCTACAAGCAGCCGAAAGCCCACCCCCAGGAGCTTTGGAAGGAAACAGCTTGTGTTTGCTACAGGACTGAAAAGACAGGAGGCTTCCACTGGCTGTTTAGACAAAGGAGAGTGCTGTGACATTTGCAAGGTGCTCAAGGCCTTGATGTTGAAGCATTCCAGAGGATAGAAGAGACTGTTAACTCCTAGAGAGCTTACTGGATTTGGGGCCATATTCTGAGTGCTTCCTGCTACTCTGCGTCCTGGGGTTATGTTGGCGGTCTCTGTCATCTGTGAGCAGTGCCAGGGAGGACCTCCCGGTTTCTGAGGGTGACATCTTCCCCTTTCAGCTCCGAAATCATTAGATTCTCCAGCGAGTTCGTAGGGTCTTCTGTCAGCCCTGCCCTTTGAGTATTTCTGAGTTGACAGCACACCATGGTAAGCACTGAGGGCAGAGAAAGCAATTCTCCCCATGGGAGCAACCTGCAACCTGCTGAGGTCCATAAATTATGACACAAACTGGAAAAACAAGCAAACCTGGAATTATAGCCCCATCATTCTGTCTGGGACGCCTAGAGACCACGTGTGAGTTTTTTTGTGTGTGTGGTTCAGGGAATGCCCACAGATTTATAGCTGAATTACAGGCTCGGCACTTGGCAGCTGCCCTGTCTGTTCTGTGCCACGATGAACCTGCTAAATTTAACATTTGGAACATTTTAGCCAAGGACGTTTTTCCCTGACCAGTGGAACACATTTTTAAAAATTTCAGAATCCAAGTTATTCTGCACAGATGGAAAGCACAGCAGATTGTGTGTGTGTGTGTGTGTGTGTGTGTGTGTGTGTGTGTGTGTGGCCTCCATCTTGCATGTGTGTATGTGATTGTAGTGTTTAATTTGGGATATTTTTGAGTTTCCACATAAAGCAATGACTAAAGACTTGTCATTAGTCATTGAGTTAATGAAGCAAATTCATATTAGAAGCTTCCCGTGTCTTCCTTGGCATCTGTGTCTGTTGAGTATGTTCAGGCTCTTGGTTACATTTTTCTCCTTCAGGAATCATGAGAAAGAGATTTTAGTGCTTTGCTATAAATAACTTACGTGACTTATATTTGCCCGTAGGTACTACTCTTTTACTTAAATATTCATGTGGATTAAGTACTTTGTCCTCTGCCTTACTTAGTAGGAGTATGTATATATGTCTTTTTTTTTAAATTACAGTTTACATTCAGTATTATTTTGTTTTATTTTCAGGTGTACAACACAGTAGATAGACAAGCATGTACTTTACAGTGTGGTCCCCCAATATGTCCAGTACCATTGGCCCCTACAGAAGGAGGATGTCCCAGTGTTTCTCATAGTTGGTACTGCTCACATTTTGTAGTTGCTTAATAAATGTTGGCTAGACAGACAGACAGATGGATATTCACGAACGTTTTCCTCAAGCATGTATTGAGCTTCTAGTTACATCATGACCTTTGTTCTCCTTCACTTCTCTGGGGATGACACGTTTTCCTTTACTCTCTGATTCCAATGGAAGGGAGAAAACTTCTGAAGTGAAGATACAGAGTGAGTTCTCTGATCAAAACAGATTTCCATTTCCTACTTCAGGCAGCTGTTTTCCGTGTCCAGCTCTCCTGTGGTTTTATTCACTTTAGTAGAAGTGCTGCCGGGTGGTTGCAAACCCCATCCTGGGAATGAGGAGGGAAAACAGACGGCAGGGGCCGTTCGGAGAAGGTGCTCCCACGTTACTGGCCTTCTGACCGTGCAGTTTACTTGGCAAAAATGCAAAGGCACTTGGATGACCCCAGGTTTTAAATAATCTCTTCAGTAAAGATTTTTTCATGTAAAGTTTTGAGTAGAACCGAGGGTTTCATTTTTTCCTGCCAATTTCTCTAGGAACTCATTATCATTAGTCAGTGTCTATAAGGTCTGTGGTACTTGGAGGGAAGATCTCCCAGTGATCGGAAAGAGCAGCAGATGGTACCTAAGGAACTCGAACTCTTTCTTTTCCCTTTGCTCCTCGGTAGTAGGAAACCTGTCAAGCACCTGCAAAGCCCTGACGTGTAAGCAGGTGCGAGGCAGCATCGGTCAGAGGAAAGGTCCTCTTCCTGTGTGCAGGGCGTGGCTGTTGGCACGTCCAGCGGCTGGCCGCTCACCGTCGCTCCCTCCTTCCCACAGCCAGTGGTTCAGCGTGCTGAGTCAGGTGCACGCGTCCACCGACCAGGAGATCCGGGAGATGCACGACGAGCAGGCGAACCCGCAGAACGCCGTGGTGCGTGAGCATCGGTGGGGCGGGGGTGGCGTCCTGAGGGAGGCCAGGAGGCCGCACATTTCTAGACCATCTTTATTTTTCAAGTAACAGTATCATAATTAAAGAGAAAACTTGGGATATTTTGGTTAAAAATCATACAGAAAAACAGAATAAGTTATAGATTAGGAGTAGTAACAGGTTCCAATTCTCCTGCCTCAAACCATTATAAGAACAGCAGCAGCAAATCCCAGTTTTACCAACCCATGGAAGCGCTTAACACTTTCTTCCAAGGACTTGGTGAATTCTAAACTGTTCTGTCTTCACTCTGTCCCTGACACATATACAGAGCCATAAAAATCCTGTTTTAGAAAGAAAGTTTTATCGCCTCACAAGAAAAACTAACGTGAAACGAAGTTTCTTAGCAGAATAAGTATAAAATTTAATGATGGATCATAGTGTAAATTAAACCATGTGTGCTACTGAAAGGAGTTTATAATCACTCCTCACTGGGGGTGTTTTAAGAAAAAAACAGAAAGCCCTGGCAGGTGCGGCTTAGTTGGTTGGGCATCATCCTGTGCACTGGTAAGTCACAGGTTCGATTCCCAACCAGGGCACATACCTGGGTTGTTGACTTGATTCCCACTAGGGGGTGTGCAGGAGGCAGCTGATGGATGTATCCCTCTGGCTAATTTATGATTTTGTAATGAATGAACTGCCTGGAGGCTGCTTGCACTCACTCAGACCCTTTTTTAGATAACTACTGTTATGTAGTTAACACAAAAAGGAGCCTTTTTTTGGCCCACCCAGGGGGTCATGATATGGGGTATTAAGATAATGCGCATTGTACTTGGATGGTTCTCTCACCTCTCTGCTTTTTGCTCCATTCCAGGGCACTTTGGATGTGGGGCTGATTGATTCCGTGTGCGCCTCCGACAGCCCAGACAGGTGAGCCCAGATGTGTCTTAACAACTCAGTAATTCATGATCTGCATGCGCTCAGTTCTCTCTGCTCCTGGGCTACCTTCCTCTTCGCTGGGCTGTGAACTCGAAGCTACTGCTCCCGCTGGTCAGCCTCAGCAATCCGGAGTCTTTGCTCCTCGAACGGGTCTTGCATCACCTCAAGTCTTCCTCTCCGGGTTTCTTTTGAGTGCTGGGGGAGACAGTGGAAACCTAATGCAGACAGTCAGTTAAAATAAAAACACATGTAAGAGAAATAGCCTTTGTCTGGATCCAGCATGAACTCGGGGTTCGTGCAGGAAGAGAGTGCCCGCGTAGGAAAAGTGTTCCAGCATGTATTACAGAAAGGGTGCAGTTCCTCTGTCCACACTTAATCGTTAATTCAAAAGATGTCGAAGGACTGTAACTTTTATAGAGAATATTAATAAATTAAGCCATATACATTTATTATTATTATTGACATTTTCACTTTATCTGTGCCTTCACAATAGCATGCTTTTGGTTTTGGTGTTCGGAGATGGTCTCAGAAGTCTTGTCCCAGTGACCTTTGTTTTTATCATCTCTATTTTTCTTTGCTGCTTGTGAATTCTGAGTAAGAATCTCATTGACTCCTGCCTTCAGTAACAGCTTTAGAAAGTGAACAGAAATGTATTCAAATTGACAACAGAACTAGTGTCCACTAGGCAGCACCAGAGGTCTGGAGTCTCCATCGCCCACTGAGGATGCGGCTCTCCTGGACCACAGGTCCGTCCTTCTGGTAGTCACACTGCACCTCCTTACACCCGGCCCAGGAACCTGTAACACACGTGTGTTAGGCCAGTAATCAGAGCCCGGATTCTGACTTTGACGGTCACATTTCTACCTCAGCTGTGTCTTCTCCCAACCCCTTCATTTCATCCGGCTGGGCATGTGGGGAGCCATGCGTAGGACTTGCTATCTCTGCTCGGGCTTTCTCTTCCTCAGCTGCCCACCTGGCTCCCTACCAACGATAGAACATCTTTATTTCTAAGGAACACCTGTCTCTTTCTATCTACTACACTCTTGTCAACCTTCCTTCCTTTTCCTTGAACGTTTGCTGCACTTAATACAGGGAACTCGTGAGAGATTCGGTCATTAGCTTAAGCGGTTGGACAGAGGAATTCGTGTGAGTAAGGACCTATGAGAGGCTCAGGGCACTGAGGGGAAGAAAGGAAATTTCCATTATTCTGTCACCCCGCACTGGGAAATGAGCCCTTGCTAGATTGCTTTGAAAACGTGGAGCCAGGTGGCTTTTTGTACCAGGCATAATCAAGTGTATAAGATGTTCCATTTACACCTATTTACTGATCTTCTATTCCTGGTGTCTGACATTTCATTACCGACTCACAGAAATATTATCCAAGGCAGTGCCCAGAGGCAGAAAGAAATTTACTTTGGCGAGGCATCAAAACAGAATTTCCCCCCACGGTCACCTTAGTTAGCCTTTCCAGAACCGAGTTTCATCTGGAAAGTTTTGCATGAAGAAGTGTGTTCCCTTCCAGGGCCTTCAGAGTGTGTCGCTCCAAGTTTAAAGGTTAATGATGCATAAAATAAATCCTGCGGAAATGAGCAAGGTTTGCTGTCCTTACCATAAAATACAAATAGCACGGCCAGTTTTTATGCCCCTGACCCAGAAGCCTGGAGAAAGGCATTCCGTCCTGGTTCAAACAAAGGTGATGCTCACAGTAGCCCTAAGAGGCTTTGCTTTCTTCTCGCCCTGTTGCTTAGGCCCAACTCGTTTGTGATCATCACAGCCAACCGGGTGCTCCACTGCAACGCCGACACGCCGGAGGAGATGCATCACTGGATCACACTGCTGCAGAGATCCAAGGGCGACACCAGGGTCGAGGGCCAGGAATTTATCGTGAGAGGTGACTGCCACCAATGCTTCCCTTTTTCACGGAGTCCTGTTTTGATTTGCATGGTCGTCTGCAGTATTTCCATTGTGTATTGCTTTTGTTGTTTTTCCATTGATTTTTAGGGAGAGCGGGAAATGGGGGTGGGGGAAGAGACATTGGTGTGAGAGATGCATTGATTGGTTACCTCCCGCATGTGTTCCAATTAGGCCGGGGATCAAGCCTGCAGCCCCGGTATGTGCCCTTGACCCGGAATCAAACCCCCATGACCCTTTGGTCTGCGGGCTGATGCTCTAACTACTGAGCCCTACCAGACAACACAGTATTTCCATTTTGAGCAGCTTTTCCAGTCATTTGACTCTTGAAGTTGCTAAAAATATGAAATAAGAAATGACCATGATTCTAGCAAATCTTTAGGATTACGACCCATGTGTAAGTATCCTGCAGATTATTAACTGGTCTCTGGTGTTTCTCATCGCAGTTTCCGATTTACACGTTCATCTTTCTCTCCAGGGTGGTTGCACAAAGAAGTCAAGAACAGCCCGAAGATGTCTTCGCTGAAACTGAAGAAGCGGTGGTTTGTGCTGACCCACAACTCCTTGGATTACTACAAGAGCTCGGAGAAGAATGCTCTGAAACTGGGCACCCTGGTCCTCAATAGCCTCTGCTCGGTCGTCCCTCCGGACGAGAAGGTTTTCAAGGAGACAGGTAACCAGCGCCGTGTGCCAGTGGCGAGCGGGACCCAGAACAACCGCGTCAAATCCTTGGAGGTGGGGTCGGCTCAGAGCAAAGGAATGAGATTCCTACCAAGCGTGTGCTTTTTCCCCAAAAGAAGCTCTGTGCTGGTTATCTTCTGAGGCTGTCTGTGGTTAGCTGTAAGAACACGTAGTATTTAAACTAGAGTAAAAAGCCTTGACTTACTGAGTGGCAGAAAGAGTCTTCTAAGGACAGTACCATGGAAGCAGGTGAATATCATCCTATAGGAAGCTTTATTTTTATTTGCTTGGATTTCGTCCTTTTTATTACTGTAGCATGAGAGACACAATGCAACCTGAGAAGTTACATTCTAGTAAACGTAACTTAAATAGAAGAGACTGTAAGCATACGTGTTTTTTTCTTCTCAGAAAAATGTCTAGACTTATTTTGATTTTTGTTACTAGTTGTGATTTTGTGCTTTTTAAAAATATAGCTATCCCACTCAGAAAAATATTTGTATGTTTTTAGTGTAGCTCCTGTATTCCAGATTACAACTCGTCTTGGGCACACAGACTACTTACGGAGCTCACGTGTTGTGAAGGGAGCGTCTCGGGAAGTGAAGAGAAAGCTGTGGGCAGTTTTTATTCTAGTCTCAGAGCCTTGAAAGGGACTTCAATTTACACCTTCAGTTCTGGGTTTATTTTTTTGTTTGTCTTCCTCTCTTGACTATAAACTCCTCATATCTTTAGATACCTAGAGACCCAGGGTAGGGCCAGGCACGTGCAGATTCAGTAACTAAGGGGCTCAGGTGGGGGCGACGTAGGCTTCAGTGCTGCTGGGCTCTGGGACTCGGTGCAGGAGCGTCACCTGGGTCCTGAGACTGACGCTGCTATGTGCGCCATGTGTCCGTCACAGGCTACTGGAACGTCACCGTGTACGGCCGCAAGCACTGCTATCGGCTCTACACCAAGCTGCTCAACGAGGCCACCAGGTGGTCCAGCGCCATTCAAAATGTGACTGACACCAAGGCCCCCATCGATACCCCCACCCAGCAGCTGATTCAAGACATCAAGGTAAGGTGCAGCCGAGCTCATCAGGCTGGTGCATCGTAGCGCAGAGATTCTCACCCCGAGAACATCAAGGTGTCAACATTAGTCAAGCTCCCTTTTTATTCTGTAATCAAAACTGACTCTTGGTAAATGACTTGTGTACCCTTGCTTTTAGGAATCTAAATGTAAGATTTTGGGTGAAATCTTATGCTAAAATATTTTTAGGGAGGTGTTTGAAGTTGCTACGGAGGCAGACCTGACTGGTGGGCTCTATAGGCAGACGGACAGTGGTCTGTGGTTGGGAGTTAGGTTCCCCATCAAGGGATGTGGTGTGAATTGTGTTGGGGACACACCTATGCCAAAGGTAACTTTAGCCCTGGGTTGAGCACCTTCTAGGAGTAACACGGTAATTCTACCCTTAACTATATACAGTTTCTGGACCGCACAGGTGGATTCATAGAGAGCCCAGATGGGTCTAGAAAACTTGGAATCTGTATCAGAGGCCTCCAGACTCACAAAAGCTCCTGTCCCTGGACCAACATTGTCCATGTTAAATTGTTGTGTCCTGTGTATGTATGAGGATAAGTTGCTCAGTAAATTTGTGTCCGGCATGAGGATTATTGCACTGATGTTCCAGGAAGGGAAACAGACATGGAGTGTTCTGGTAGCCTTGCTTGCCTAGCTGGTCAGCCCCCGGTGCAGAACCAGGTCAAAGGAATTCGTTTTACTGCCGTACCTCCTTGTTGTCCACACACACAGATTTCCCAACAAAGGAAGGAGCTGGGGCTGATTCCAGAGGGATAGTGAGGCAGGTATTTACTGATGTGCCTCAAAGGAGGTTATCTGATTGGATCCAGGAGGCAAACTCCACCTTTGCAAAGGTGGGAAAGGGTCTCCTGTATCAGTAGTAATTTCCCACCAAATTCAAGTCGGCCTCTTGATGCCGAAGTTATAGTTTCCTGGGAATTGGAAGCTAAATTCCACCAAGTGAGTCATTCTCCAAGGTTCTGCAAAGCTTCCTGTGGAGTCCAGAATGCTGGATGCTAATAATTTTATTTCTAGCCTTCAAAATATATTTTTGAAGCTTTCTTTTGCGGTGGGAGTAAAAAATGCCTGTATCAGCTGAATCTTCTCTTCAAAGCTCTATCTGGTCTTACAGTCTCTAATTAATTTGAAATCAGACATTAAAAGAGTAATAGAATTTTTCAAATATGAAACAGCTCTTTTTAAGAAACTAAATTGCTCTAATTAAGTCCATACACTTTTTTCTAAGTAATTAAAGTTTTTTTCCTACTTTGAATCGGGTGTTATTGAAAAAGTTTTCAAGTGGAAATGAAATGACCAGGATAGAGTGATTCACTGCCGCTCCTCCAACTCTTCTGTTTATTTAAAGTTATAAAAGTAACTGGCTTTTTTTTTTTTTTTTTTTTGCATCTCATTAACATTTTAGGAGCATAAATACATGATGTATTTCTGTGAGAGGATCTCTTACATTTCAGGTGTGAAAGAGAAGGCAGACACTTTCAGGTATAGAGAGAATACAAAAGACAAAGAATTAACAAAATGCATTTTTAAAAAAAATGTTTTTATTGATTTTTTTAGGGAAAGAGAAAGAAACAGAAATATCCATGAGAGAGAGAAACATTGGTCGGCTGCCTCCCACACGCCCCCCACCGGGGATCCAGCCCAAAACCCAGGCATGTGCTCCGACTGGGAACCGAACTGGGACCTCTCAGTCCATGGGATGATGCTCAATCCATACTGGCTGGGCACAAAATACATTTTTAAATGAATTACAGATAAAGGTACATGGTTTGGCTAAATGATTGATGGCTAAATAATTAGCAAGAGAACTTGAAATTAATTTTTTAACTACATTTATAATTTCGGGGGGAAACTTAAATACCGTGGGAGAATAGATGCATATGAGACGAAGAGAAAGAGTTATGAAAGAACAACGTGTGGTTGTGATTTGCTTTCAGACGCAGGTTGTGGGTCTTTGTGGTGGTAATTACGAATGCTGGATTTCCACCACCTTCTCTGGGGTTGTTGGGTGGTTTAGACCTTTGAAAAATGTTCGTGTGTAGGAGAATACAGATGCTTACATGTTTTTTTACCATCTGTTTGCTTGCTTTCTGTAACGGCCCCTTTATTTTCAAGGAGAACTGCCTGAACTCGGACGTGGTGGAGCAGATTTACAAGCGGAACCCCATCCTCCGCCACACCCACCACCCCCTGCATTCCCCGCTCCTGCCCCTGCCTTACGGAGACATCAATCTCACCTGTAAGTCCTCAGCTCCGCCTGCCTCCAGACACGGGTTCTGTTTCCCTGTTAAGTCTTTAGCTCTGGAATGTTAGTACTTGTTGGCTATAGGGGTGCAAGGGCTGTGGTACTAAAGGAAACAACGTGTAAGGGAGCAGAAAATGCCAGTGGCCCCAAGCGCTCTCAGCCGCCTTCGTACCCTCGAGAACACATCCGTGCAGCCTTGGATTCCGGTTATGGAACCAACTGGCAGCAGACCAACTTTCAACTAAGAATTTTGTACAATAAAATAGTTAAATTATATAACAAAACAGTGAATTACATAAACAGTTACGAATTACATAAGATAACTTGCCCCGTTATTATTATTTTTAATTATTATTTTGATTTTAGAGAAAGGGAGAGAGATAGAGAGATGTTGATGTGAGAGAGAACATCAGTCAGTCGCCTCCTGCACACACCCCGACCGGGCATTGAACCTGAAACCTGGGTGTGTGCCGTGATTGGGAATTGAACCTGCTACAGTTTGGTGTATGGGACGATGCTCCACCATCTGAGCCACACTGCCCAGGGCACCCCCTGTATTTTGATAGTATTTTCCAGCTGATTGAAAGGTACGGGGACTGTGGTGAGCAGTGTCATGAAGTGCAGTGGTCTGTCCCTGCTCTTATCTGCTGCTCAGATGGTACCGTCTTTGACCTCCTGTGTGACGCGTTGATTTGCTTTTCCTAGTGCTCAAGGACAAAGGCTATACCACCCTCCAGGATGAAGCCATCAAAATCTTCAATTCCCTCCAGCAACTGGAATCCATGTCTGACCCCACTCCCATCATCCAGGGCATCCTCCAGACGGGGCATGACCTGCGCCCCCTGCGAGACGAGCTGTACTGCCAGCTCATCAAGCAGACCAACAACGTGCCGCACCCGGGCAGCGCCGGCAACCTGTGCAGCTGGCAGATCCTTGCGTGCTTGAGTTGCACCTTCCTGCCGAGTCGGGGGATCCTCAAGTACCTCAAGTTCCACCTGAAGAGGTACGGGAGCTGAAGGCCAGCGCTGTAGGCTTTCACGTACATGTGGAATCTGAAAAGCAAAATAAACAAGCAAACAAAACGGGGACAGACTCACAGATACAAAGTACAAACTGACAGTTGCCAGAGGGAGGGCGTTGGGGGACTGAGTGACAAAGGTGAAGGGACCGAGTACAGGTTGCTAGTTACAGAATAGTCACGGGATGTAAAGCTCAGCATAGGGAATATAGTCAACACTGTGAGGATGATGTGTGGTGCCAGGTGGGACTAGACTTATGGGGGGAAGGGAGCATCACTTTGTAAGGTATATACATGTCTAACCACAATGCTGTATACCTGAAACAAATATAATATTGATGTGGACTGTAATTTTAAATTAAAAAATTTTTTTAATATAGAAAGGTCTGTGGTGGCTTGGCCAGAGCCCAGTGGTCTGATGGATTGTGGTTCAGGTAGAGAGGACCTGGTCTAGGAGACACCCAGTGTGGGTCAGAGATTTGGGTCAGATTTTGTCGGTCACGTAAGCGAGCTCACAGAATGAGCACAGACATCATCTTTCTCTCTCAACCACACGGCTGTTTCAGGGACCAGGTTACCTTCAGGGTAGTGTTCTCAAAGTGTGGGACAGTGGATACATTTAATTACTACTACTGTATATAAATAGGAAAACCCGAAAACTTAGGCACTTATTCCAGATAAAACAGCAGTAGAAACAGTCTAATTCAGATTTTGATTAACCGTGGAAAAACAATTTTCACACCAGTTTGAAGCAGGACTCCTTCAAGTATAACAGGCCCTGCAGAGGTGGAAGTTGCCCCCAGCCAGACACTGGCTTTTTGTTTTTCTTTTTGTTTTGTATTTAAACGGAACCTGCACTGGCTGCACTGGTCCCTGCCAGGAAGTGGTTGGTGTTTGCTCCGTTCACGGCTAGGTGTCTGCCTACCGCCTCCAAGGAGCCCAGCTGCCACCCGTCCTCAGTTTGGCGATTTAACAGTTAGTGTTTGTCTTCTAGGATACGGGAACAGTTCCCAGGAACCGAGATGGAAAAATACGCGCTCTTCATTTACGAATCTCTTAAGAAAACCAAGTGCAGAGAATTTGTGCCTTCCCGCGATGAAATAGAAGCTCTGATCCACAGGCAGGACATGACATCCATGGTGTACTGCCACGGCGGCGGCTCCTGCAAAATCACCATTAACTCCCACACCACAGCCGGGGAGGTGAGGGGTGGCCTGCGGCGCATTCCCTTGATGCCCCCTGTCCATGTGCCTAAGTCAGGAAAGTGTGCCTAAGCCCAGTTAGACTGGCTGCCCAGCTGTTTGCACAGTGCAGCTGCTCAGTAAACACAGAAACAAACATAACCTGCGTCCAACCACATGTATAGAGAGATCAGAACATGTATTAGAGATGAGTATAGACACCAAATCAAAGGGCCAAAATATCCGAGACAATCCCCGTCCTGCTAATCTGACAAGCATTTGAGTGTCACATAGAGATCACAGCCCTGACTCAGGCCGTCCACTATGACCAGGGTGTCACGCTTCTGCAATAAGGTATTTATATTTGCCACATGGATATCTAGAATGTTGGGTCAGATGAACACCTTTCTTTGTTTTTTGTTTCTGTTTGTTTTCCCTCTCTTAAAATTGAAGTAAAACCCAAAATACTTTTCATGTAGAAAACATCAGAGGAAGTCGCACTTGTTTTTTGGAGTTCTTAATTTTTTTTTTCTTTATTGATTTTAGAGAGAGAGGAAAGGAGAAGTAGGAAGAGATAGAAACATCGATGAGAGAGAACATCGGTTGGCTGCCTCCTGCATGCCTCTCACTGGGGATTGGGCCCACAACCTGGGCAGGTGCCCTGACCAGGAATCGAACCGGTGACCTCTTGGTGCATGGGTCAATGCTTAACCACTGAGCAACACCGGCCAGGCTGTTTCTTGGAGTTTTTTGAAACACAGCCTTCAGTTTTCATGCCCTTTCTCTCCTTGTATGGGTTTGAAAGACATTGGGTCTACATCTGCCTCCACCTGTGTTCTTTTTGGCAAGAAAGAGATGAAACTGGTTTCAAGAGAACAAAAGAGAAACGGCACCTGAGACATTCTGGGTGACACACATGGCAGTTTTAGGAGGCTATTTGCACCCTTACTTTTGCTGGCTGCTCCCCCTGAGTTCAGGTGCGAGAACATTCTAGAACCATGGCTTTGGGAGCTGGTGACCTCGGGGTGTGTCTTTCAGGTGGTGGAGAAGCTGATCAGAGGCCTGGCCATGGAGGACAGCAGGAACATGTTCGCCCTGTTTGAGTCCAACGGACACGTTGACAAAGCCATCGAAAGCCGGACTATTGTGGCCGATGTGCTAGCAAAGTTTGAAAAGTGAGTTCCTTCTCCCTGAAGTTCCAGCCGATTAAATAACGGCAATTAAGAGCAAGAGCTGGGGATTTGAACCTCCGTCTTCAGCTTCGGCGTGTATTGGAGTTTATATTTTATCTTACCCATGTTGGAGCTTATTTGATTGTTCATCTCTGTGGGCTGATTATTTAATTCCTAGATAAAGCCCCTGTCTCAGATGTGATTCTTTCACCCCATCCCTTCAGACCTCCGTTTTACTCGTTACCTTGAGATTCCTGATTCGCAGGTTTTCACTTGTCCGTTCGCTTTGAAACAGGGCTAGCAGAAGCCACCTTAGAAACTCTGATCTCTGTTGGAACTCTAATTTTGATCTGTTCCTCTTTTATCCCCTTAAAAGATATTTCTGTTCAATATAAACACAGCCTCCATATCATTCGTGTCAGTTTTTATAAATCTTGTAGTTTATTTAAGGGTTGGGAGCGAAGAAACAGCCTTTGCTACTTTTCTTTGTGTGGATTCAGCATGATGCTTAGTACTAATGAGACTGGGGCACCTGAAGAATACTTGTTAGCCTAGTTTAATGGAAGGGATCTGTGTGCTGTGTTAAAATGAGACATGGATGAAAACAGTCCCTCTCTGGTCAAGTTCATGAAGGACTCTGGTACACCTCACTCTTGTTCTGTTTTCTCGCCCTCTCCACCACGCGGTTATCTGAGCACGGGCAGGATGTCTGCATCCTTACGGGGAATAAACCAAGTCAAGCCAGCTCCCTGAGGGTCACCTAAGGCCCATCTCTCATTTTGCTCTCTGAGTCTCTCTCGACTTCTTCTGCAGGCTGGCTGCCACCTCAGAGGTGGGTGACCTGCCCTGGAAATTCTACTTCAAACTTTACTGCTTCCTGGACACAGACAATGTGCCAAAAGACAGCGTGGAATTTGCATTTATGTTTGAGCAGGTAAGAGGAATTTTTAGAAACAGATTCCTTTAGCCGAGAACAGGGGTGACACCCATTAATGTCCTTGGTAAGCTGACTGCTAGTCCTAGAAATCATGCACAGCAAGCAGTTTCCCGGCATGGACAGGGTCGGCTGCTTGCATTCATCTGTAGATGAAATCGACGCACATTTTATTTGAACACCTGTTCCAGAAACTGTTGTAGTTGGGCAGAGAGAGAGACAGTAAGGCGTAAAATATACAAGTTAGCTGGTGTCCATACTAGGGGGAAATTTAAAGCAGTGAAGCGGGATCAGGGCACCATTTTTTGGGAAGGTGACATTTGATGGAAATCCTGGTGGAGCGGGCGGTGTGAGCCGGGGGGGGCCCCTGTGTCTGCCCCTAACGCCCTTGCCCGCCTCCTTCCAGGCCCATGAAGCTGTCATCCACGGCCACTATCCGGCCCCGGAAGAAAACCTGCAGGTTCTCGCAGCCCTGCGGCTGCAGTACCTGCAGGGCGACTATTCGCTGCACACCGCCGTCCTGCCCCTGGAAGAGGTTTACTCGCTGCAGAGGCTCCGGGCCCGCATCAGCCAGTCCACCAAAAGCTTCACCCCGTGTGAGCGGCAGAGGCGGACGAGCTTCCTGGAGGGGACGCTGCGGCGGAGCTTCCGGACTGGCTCTGTGGTCCGGCCCAAGGCCGAGGAGGAGCAGATGCTGGACATGTGGGTCAAGGAAGAAGTCTCCTCTGCTCGAGCCAGTATCATCGACAAGTGGAAGAAGTTTCAGGGAATGAGCCAGGAACAGGCCATGGCCAAGTACATGGCCTTGATCAAGGAGTGGCCTGGCTATGGGTCGACGCTCTTTGACGTGGAGGTGAGACCTGGCTGCCGTGGGCTGTGGGATCTGGTTGTGCCCCAGAGCATATATCGGGGCCCATGGCCAGGTTCGGGCGAAGGGAGGAAGGGCTGCACGCTGCTGTTGTTTACCCACTTTTGTTAGAGCCCCAAATCTCACCCTTAGCACACCCACCCACTTAAGGCGTTTACCTCTTTATACTAAGTGCTTTTTTTGACTTCGTTTTCATTTTATTATTTTTTTATTTAATTAATTTATTTTTGTTACAGATACCTCCCCTGACACCCTCCTTCTCCCGTCCCCCCCAGCATTGTTGTCTATGTCCATTGGTTTGCTTACATGCAGAAGTTCTTTGGTGTGTCTCTTCTTTTTTAATATTAGGAGTGAGTGAAAAATTAAGATATCACCTATTCTAAAATAATTTCTACTCTAATGGAAGCTATAGATCCAATAAAAAGTGCTGGTTAAAACCTGCATTTGAAAACTTTAAAAAAATGTTTAGAACTATGTACACAAAACTAGAAACTTGGGGTATACTTGAATTTTACATTTTTTCCTCATGACTATTTGCAGGGAAGAATTTCTCTGTCATAATTGGAATTTAGCCATTAACATCAACTAAGTATGGATTCATACCTTCTTTACTTTTGTTGAAGTAGACACTTACTGAAAGAAAATCTTACTAATGGTTTAGATCCAGGCTTGGCCACCAGCCTGAGGGCCAAACTGTTCCTGCCTCTTTTTTTTTTTTTTTTGGCCTTTACTGATTTTTAGAGAGAGGGGAAGTGAGAAGGAGAGAGAGAAACATCAATTGGCCACCTCCTGCATGCTCCCCACTGGGGATTGGGCCCACAACCTGGGCATGTGTCCTGACTGGGAATCGAACCAGTGACCTCTTGGTGCATGGGTCCGACGCTCAACCACTGAGCCACACTGGCCAGATGCCTGCCTCTTTTTTAAATAAAGTTTTATTAGAACCCAGCCATGCTCATTCCTTTATCTTCTCCGGCTGCCTTCACATTGAAGTGGCAGAATTGAGTAGCTGTGGCAGAGACCATGTGGTCCACAAAGCCTAAAACAGGTCCTGTCTGTCCCTTAACATGAGTACACCAGAGGTCCAGAGGAGCTTCCGTTTTTCTTGTCACAATTATTCAGCATGTTATCTGATGACCTTTAAATGAGACTATAAAAAAATCTAAATATTGATTCTATATGTCAAGATCCTTCTGTGGCTTTTTGTGGGATGCTATGTTTGGTTGGTTGGTTGGTTTGGTTGGTTAATTCAGGTATGTTGGTTTTTGAGTACAAATCAGATGCTTTGTCCGCGTGGCTCCTCTTGGTGTCGCTGATGTGCACCCTCCTGTTTGTGCTGGTTCAGCTCGGCCCTGAGTTGCTGTCCCTACATTGGGGCTCTTGTTTTCCTTCACTGATCTGTGCAGGAAAGTCGGTCATTACCCAGTGAGATCGACCACTGTGTACACAGCAGGTCACTGCTGCTCCTCATCAAGACACATGTTGTTCACAAGGAGCCAAACTGCTCAGCACAGGGCGATTTAAACAGTTTTCCTCTGTGATCCTAGATTTTGTATTTGAAAGATAATCATCGAAGGGTTGGAGGCAGAAGGAGAGCTGGAAGAGCAGACCTGGCTCAGGTGCTTGGTTTGCTGGGGTCGCTGTCGGTTCCTCGATGCGGCCACCTCCACGTGGTTGATTCAGATGACCCGTAGAGGGGTGCCATCCAGAGCTGGAGAATCAGAGCAAGGTGTTGGGATGTACCGATTATAAGTCAGGCAGGGATATCATTTCTCGTATTCGGGTTCCCTGACATCAATGTGCATTGATTGTGTTCAATATTCTGTGCAGAGGACTCGCCTGAAAACCTGTCTTGTGTGTTCTGGTCCTGTGCTTCCTGGTCTAACACCTTACGCTGACTCTTGCCCCCGCAGTGCAAGGAAGGCGGCTTTCCCCAGGACCTCTGGCTGGGCGTCAGCGCAGACGCCGTGTCCGTCTACAAGCGCGGGGAGGGGAAACCGCTAGAAGTCTTCCAGTATGAGCACATCCTCTCCTTCGGCGCCCCCCTGGCAAACACCTACAAGATTGTGGTGGATGAGAGGGAGCTGCTCTTTGAGACCAGTGAGGTAAGAGGCAAAGCAGGGCCTTGAACAGGCAAAAAAACAACACGCCACTTTCTGATGCTTTTGGCCAAGCAGTTTTATTTGAACGTTTCTGTTAAGGCATGGGGACACAGTATGACGGCCCTGCCCAGCTTCAGGTTCCTCGGGCTGAAATCCGATCACCCCAGACTTCTTCTCTATACCTCTGCCACAGAGAAATCTGGTTCGCTTGTATCGGGGTCTTACCCATGGAGAAAAGGAAGAGAAAGAGAAATGATGTAGATGTTCCAGAAAAAAATATATAGGTGGGCAGTATAGCCTTGTGAAGATTAGGAGATGCTGATGACAGTGAGTAACAGCAGTGAGACTCAGCTCTGTAGTGTCCACGGAGCAGGAGCAAGGGCTGTGACCTGCTGGGCAGAGCTAATTCTGGCTCACAAAACACACACACACACACACACACACACACGTGCGCCCGTCCGCACACACTTTAAATATGTATTCTATCCACTCCAAAGCTTGAAATGTCATAATAATAATGATAATACCAGAAGCCTTTTGAAGGAGCTGCCTACAAGCAGAGGCAGGGAATGGAGATGGATCCATGCTGCCCTTGTGGCTGTTAGGTCCTGGAGAGGGGCTGGAAGGAGCGGTCAGACCAAGGACGTGCTGTGGGAGCTGGACGAGGCTGACTAGAGGTGGAGAGAGGTGGGGCCGTTGGCCAGAGCGTCTCAGGTGCCAGGCTGCTGAGTTTGGTCGACCCCAGTAGACAGCAGGGAGCTTCTGGGGGATCTCGGTGCACGCTGTAAGGACGGCGCGTTCACAGACAGTGATGTGGGCTAGGGCTGGCAGGAAACGGAGAACCGGGAAGTGGAAGCCAGTTAGGATGTCTTAGCAGGGATCCAGGCCAGCCATGAGAAGTGATGGGCCAAATTTGAGATCGTAGCTGGCAAGGAGCAGAACTGGCCATCTGCCACTCTGCCTGTCCCCAGAGCCGTGGTGGTTTGCCCAGCTGCATCGTGAGTTGACTAGAACTGTGCGATCCAGTCTTTCACAGCTGTGATTGTGGGCCCTGGTGATTACCCTCATTTTAAGTAGGGAGAGAGATCCCAGCCCTAGCAATACCAATTTTAGTGTCATAGGGTGTTTGTTTGGTTTTTTAATATGCAAAGTCCGACATTTTTGCATGAAAAAACCAGCCGGTGGTGCACACTGTATTTGGAAAAGCCAGTTGCCCCTCTCTGATTCGGAACAGGAAAAAGCGGGTAAACGTGTGCCTTCGTACAAAACGCGAGCCGTGGATTTGCATGGCAGGCTGGTGGCTTTTGCTGGGAGGACGTGAGCTGGTCCTGCTGTGCCCACTGACCCAGCTGACCTTGTGCCGATCTGCCTCCCTGGCAGGTGGTGGACGTGGCCAAGCTCATGAAAGCCTACATCAGCATGATTGTGAAGAAGCGCTACAGCACCTCGCGCTCCGTCAGCAGCCAGGGCAGCTCCAGGTGAACCAGGCGGAGCCCACGTGTCCTCAGGACCTGAACACGCCCCCCTCTGGCCTCAGCTGGCTCCTGCGGGCAGAGCCCAAGCACAGCTGCCCAGGCTCTCGGGAAGCCTCCGGGAGGAGGTGTCCCCGAGGGACCTTTCGCCCTGTCCACTTCAGTGATCATGTATTAAGCTGTCAACCTTAACCCAATTTCCAACGCTTCACTACTCCTAGATGACACATGCCTTAAAAAAAAGAGAAGAAAAAACCCACGCTGCCGCCAAAGCAGCCAAAAGTGCCTTAACGTGTGGGAGCAACACTAACGGACCTTAACTGTGCTACTGAAGGGAAAGCTTCCCCCTTGCCGGGGAGACTGACAGAGCTTGGCGGTGGGGGCGTTTATCCGTCACCTATGCACTAACCTCTCAGCCTGATCTCCCGACTTTGAGGGAAGGTGAGGGAGCGGGGAGGGGGCAGGGAGCGCAAGGAGACAGTGTATCTTAGTTGGGGTGCTGCTGGCAGCCTTCCTCGCAACACATAGTAACTTTTTTTGTTTCATCTTTTAAGTGTCTGTGCTGGCCTGTGCATGCATGTGTTCATAAACTCACCACTTTAATCACTGTTTCAAGAGTATTAAAAGCAAAGGGAAAAAGGAAGTGCAATGGTGTAAACAGTCTGTCTGTATATTTTAATAGTTCAGAGTTATAGTCTCCAGTTGTTAACTTTATAAGGCAGTGATATTAACAAACCGAATTCTGGATTTTCCTGTCCTTGCTGTATTTCGAAAGCCACATTTGGACTCAGTTTTATTATACATGTAGCAAAGTCTGCATTCTGTGTCTGCTGTATTATAAACAGAAATGCAGCCTGCAAATAACTGTATTTATAAACCACTCTTAAACAGCTGGCTTCAGGGCTGTTTTTAGAAATGTATGAAGTCATTTTGGAGTCTTTAGTTTCTAAAAGATTTAAGTTAAAAAAAAATGTTTCTTTGAAGGTTAGCTTGTATCGCTCCAGGTAGATTACTGTATAACCATTTGAATACGGGGAGAAATGCTGTACCTCCCCAAAGGTGGAATATGTGTGCGCATCTTTAAAAGACCCTAACATTAAATGCTGAGGCTTTAATATAATACACATATTTCATCTCGAGTTTATAATGGTGGTCCGAAAAAGGCACCTGTAAATAAATCAGCATTTATGACCAGAAGAAAAATTATCTGGTCTTGGACTCTTATTTTCATATGGAAAAGTTGTCACGACTTAGGCCAACGAAGTCTACCCACAAAGAAAAAAGATGCCTTACCCCTTACAGACAGCCATGTGAAACTGAAATCCTTGTTTGTTGGCTCCCAGACAGTCTGATAATAAAAGATATTAGCTAATGCACAGTGTATGTTCTTTATCGGGGTGGCTCTAAATACATATGGGATCTTGTTTTTGTTGGTTTGGGGTTTTAAGGCTTTGGGCTTCAGGGTGTCTCAGCTGTATGTTTCATGCCCTCAACACCAGTCTAAACCAGACATGTAGACATCTCGACTGCTCTTGTAGGCACAGAGTATGACTCCAAGACAGCTGAGAAGGTAAAAGATGGGGTTCAAGGAAGTCACAGAAATCAAGGTGTGTTTGGGCTGAACAGTCTCTTATGGCCCAACCCAGAATGTGCCCGGTGGCAGATCATGATCTGGCTTGCGGCCTTGATCACTGGAGCAGCAGACATGGGTAGGCCATGTACCCACCAATGAACCCAAAGAACCAGCTAGGGACACAAGGTCTCACCTGTGGAGGCCCCTCGGCCAGATAGGGGGCCTTAGCAGCTCCAGTTCCCCAATGTCCCTTTCTCTTACCGATTCTCCCCACCTCTGCTATGCCCAGGAATGTCCCCCCCCCCAATTCCCCAGGACTGGGAAGTACCTGAGGGCAGGTGCTGCCGAGCACCTGTGGCCTTGAGTGACGAGAGGAAGGTGAGCTGTGACCAGGAGGTTTTGTTCTTGTCTTTGTCTTCATCTCAGGCCCAGAGAGAACGGGCCGACGTGCCTTTTCACAGCTCACCACTTGGAATTCCTGTGTGATTCTTGTATCCTGGCCGACCACCCACACCCGTTGCCTGTGAGGAAGTAGGCACAGGACAGCGTGACAACTAGGGCACTGGCAGCATCAAAGCCAGGTCTCTGCACACACGCCTTGACATGTCGAGGGCTTCGTTTTGTTTTGATCTTTTATTTAGAAATAATTATAGATTCAGGGGAGGTTGCCATGGGATGTACAGGGAGGTCTCCCCAGTGGTAGCGTCTCAGCACAACCATAGAACAGCAGCACAGCTAAGAAATGCATTGGTGTCCGGCTGCTGTGGCTCGTGGGCTGAGCGTCACCCCATGGACTGAGGTCCCAGTTCGAGTCCCGGTCAGGGCACATGCCCAGGTTTTGGGCTCGATCCCCAGTGTGGGTAGGGCATGGAGGAGGCAGCTGATCGACATTTCTCTCTCACATCGATGTTTCTATCTCACCCTTCCTCTCTAAAAAATCAATGAAACATATTTAATAGAAAAAGAAATGCATGAGCTTCCTCCATCCAGAGAATTATTTCACCAAATTTGCATACGTTCATTTGTGTGTGGTTTTAATAGGTTGGTATGTGGTCAGTGGAGTAATTTTGAATGTTTGCTTGTTACAGAGAAAGGCGTCAATATGAAATGGCATCACTGCAGACTGGGACTACCTAGCATATTCGTGTTTTAAGTTTCCGTTCTTTTGGAGAATATATATAAGTGGGTTTTAAAAACATCAAATGGTTCAAGTTACATTTCCTCAAAGCCATCGCCCCTGCTTACCTAGTTTCCTTCCCCAGAAACAAATATCTACCATTTTCTCAAGTATCCCTCCCAGAAATATTTTCAGCATATACTCACATATATGATCCTTGTCCCCTTTTCTTTTAAAAATACATATAAAAGCATAAATTCTCTTGCACGTTGCTTTTCTCCCTGAATAATGTTAGATAGGATTCCACATAGTACCTTCGAGTTGCCTTATTCTTTTTGTATACAGCATCCTAGATAGCTCAGGGGGGTGGGGGGTGGGAGGGGGCACCTAATTTCTCTAAATATAGTTAAGAAATCTAAGAAGACAAACTTTTTTGACTTGATTTTTTACTCAACACATTGTTGTCATATACATGCTATGGTAAATTCTGTGTTATCTCATGCATTGGGACCTTTAGTTGATAAATTTTAGAAATATGTGTTGGTGTCAAAATAAGTGCTTTAGATAATATGAAAATCCTCACCTACTAATAGCTTATTATCTAATAGGGAACAAACACGTATACAGCAAACTAAATTTAACTAGTATATCTATACCTATTACAACAATTGATCAGAGAAACATGGTATGTGGGAGAAAATGGGCCCGGAGTCTGTTTGGCATGGCCATTTTCAGAATATATAATTTTAATCTTTTAGGTCTGAGGCAGCAAACTACAGTCCAGAGGCCAAATCTAGCCCTCCACCTGCTTCTGTCAAGTTTTATTGGAACAGATTCCTACCCGTTGATGTGTGTGTGTCGACAGGTGCACTTGTGCCCCATGGCAGAGCTGACTAGTGACAGACACCCGGCAAAGCTGAAAATGTTTACCTCTGGTACTTTACAGAAAGAGTTTGCATACCCGCAAGTGTACAGGAAGTACAACATTTCTTTTATAACCAATTGTCGGCTATAGTAGGGTTTTGACTCCACGTGTTATGCTAGAAATACAGTCCCCAGGTTTGAGATGGGTGCTATCATGTTTCTTGTGCACTATTTTGAAGGACCTCCCCGATATCCCCCTCTCCCTGTTTCAGCACAGACTGGCTCAGCATCACCTCTCATTTCTGCCTAATCAGTCAGGAAATTGATTAGAGCTCCAGAAAGACAGAAAATGTCTTTCCTCCACATGACCTAAGAGATCCAGCATCATACCTGCCTGGACCGTTGTAGGGGCTCCCTCAGCCACAAACGGTGATCAGATCACAGCCCCAGCTCTCGAGGAGTATTACGGTGATCAGGTAAAAGCACGAGAACATGGTAAATGGCCACAAAAGGTGACACAAAAGTCTGAGTTTCAGGAAGTGGTATTCCAGATCCCAGGTAGGTCGATGGTTCTGGGATGGCCGGGGAAGGACTCGTGAAGGGGTGGTGGGCCTTGAGCTGGTCTGGCAATACGGCAGAGGGAAAGGAATTCGGGGCGGGGGCAAGAGAGTCCACGCACAGGTGGGGGTGGGGAGGGCACGGAGCTGGTGTCAGGCAGGTGTCTGAAGCCATGGTGCCGTCCCATTGCCCTGGCCCCAAATTGCGTCTTCATTGGTTCCACATGATTCCACCTTTGTGACCCCTCACCACCCCCTCAGCTCCCCATAAATACTATTTTCCACAGACCAGGTGCCCAGAGGGATCTTTATAAAACACAAATCTAAATAGACGCCTCTACTACTCAAAACTAGCACTCTCTCAGCAAAACACAAATCCCTGCTCCAGTACCCTGTGTTTTCTGCCCTGCGTGCCTCCGACCTGTCTCCCTCCACTCCGCCTCCTCCTGCTGCAGCCGTGCTGGCTCTTCCTTTCATTTCATCCCCACTTTCTCAGCCCCCCAACCTAGTGTATATTCGCTGCCCAGCAGTGAGGACGGTAACGTGTTTCCTGGTGGAAGCCCGTGTCATGCTCAAGGAGACAAGAGCAGTCATCCCCGGGTAACGAGCTCTGGTAAGTGTTCTCGCGGGTTCTCCAGGGAACACAGTCCCGCTGTGGAGTGTTGGCTGGTTTTCTGGTGTCCGTGTTCCCACCGGGGCTGATTTCAAGCTGCGAGGAGACATCACTGTGCGCAGAGTTGTAACGACAGGCATGGTTGGTCCGAGCGCTGGCAGGAGCTTGGCCTTGCACACCACTGAGAGGTCACATCAGTAAATCATTTTTCAATAAAAAAAAAAGTCATCTCATTGAGAAGAAAACATCTTAAGTTAAAAAAAAAACCTCAGAAGTAAAAAAAAAAAAAAGACACTTATAAAACTTTAAGTACTTTCAGTCGGGGAAAGTTATGTGGGAAAATTGAAGAGGTTTTCAAAGTGTATAATCTGTTCCTATCTTTAGTTTTCCCAGAGATTTTGTTTTCTCTTTCAAGTAATAACAGGATTTCAGCTGATTCGCAGTTTGAGACATAAACAGGGCCTGTTGCCCCTGAGGCACCCAGATGTTGGCTTGGTGAGAACCAGATGCCCGATTAGAGTTCTCATGATTCCTCATGACCCACCAGAAGAGAAGACAAGGAATTCCTACAACTTTGATCTCCTGGGGGAATTGTTCTCTATTAGTTTACTTTGTAACTTGACATTGGAATTTCATAGGCCTCATGGTTAGAGATACCCCAAGGATCAAAACCAACCATAACAATTTAATTTACTTTACTTTATTACATGTTTACTAAATTCTTGCTGTTCAGATTTTTTAAAAAGTATTTCTATGGGGTTTGCAAAGGAACCAAAACCGTCTTAAGAGGCGTAGAAACTCGTTCAGGTAAAAGGTATAAACACAGGAAACGAGAAGTTGGCTGTGGCACGGCAAGTGTGTGGGGGCCGTCTGCGGACGTGTTAAAGGGGGGCCCAGAAAGCAAGAGTGCGAGGAGGAGAGTTCTCAAAGGGGACACTGCGTCCCCAAGATGCAGACGTAGTGTGTAGTGTGAGCACACGCCAGCGCACAAATGAATGAAGAAAAGCCAGGAGGAAAAGCGCAGCATCTGGATTTCTAAGTAAGACTTCTTACACTCCACTGTGGTTTTTCTTCGGCCCTCTCTTTCGACATGGCCGGGGGCATTAGCTACCATCTGCTCAGCACACACTGTATTTCAGGCTGTGCCGGGTGCATTACCATCGTTATCTCCCTGTGTCCTCACAGAAAGCATGGTGTAGGTGCTACCAAACCTGTTTTTCATTGATACGGAGATTTAGAAGGCAATGGAACTCGCTGCAACAGCTTTGCTGTGTAACAAATCACTCTACAATTCAGTGG